GTAGTCACTACAGCTCAAATGTTCGTAACCGCACACCAAGAATAAAATTGCTGAGGTCATTACAAAAGGGAGCTTCAGACTGGACCAGGCAACTGGCAACAAAAACAGACAGCTTGAACTGAAAGATCTTAAGAAGTGGGAAAACCAAGCTTGAGATTAAGGACGGCCTTAGTCATTCCTGGAGCTTGTTACCAACCAGAATCAGAATTTAGGTTTACTTTTTTCAGCCGCAAATAATGCGTAAATTATTTTATGTTTCCATAGCACTGTAACGCCGATATTACCGGACGAGGATTAAATGAGGCCTCGTGAGCGAGGTGAAATTGGTATACAGAAAGTTCGATGTCGGAGAGTGGAGACAAAAGCGATAAGGTTTGTGTTGAGTGCCCGGGTTTTGATGAGGTGGGTGACATATGACCCTTAAGTCCTCTCCTGAGGTTTTCCATGTTTCGTCTCCGGGCCATGCTTTATCCATCTTGTTCCTTTCTGATCACCACCTAAAACCGCTCGTCGCACCTCTGTAATGCTAGCTTCGTGGCCTGCGAAAGTGCACTATGATCGAAGTCAGGCAAAGCCCTTTTTGTTTTCAATGCACATTGGCCACTTGTCACAGCCATAATCAGTACTCAACGCACTATAACGTTTTAGTCCACCGAAAAATTACGCAGTCCTCTCCAAAGATGTTCTCTGAGTGTTTGTAGGGGGGTCTACACACAGTGACGGCTTTTTGGAACACTGAACTGGAGACCCTAAATGGGAACAAATTTTTCAGTCTCTCATGGACAAAACGCATACTCATTTGTTACTTTTCATGAATGTTACCTCAACACATGCAGTCCGCAAAGTTGCTGCTCTGAAACTGATTTTAACAGACGGGAATTTGCTCCCATTCTTTGCTGCACTTGAATTACTGTTGCTAGTTAATGACACAGACACCGTTAAAACTCACTAAGGCTCACTAAACGGAGAATGGTAAATTATTCGGTGTGGCAGACGAATAAGTGTTACAGAACATATAAACTTTGGATCGATATGGCTGACGCATCGAACTACCGAAACCCACTGAGGGCATGAGTAATTATAACTTGCATCATATGAAAATCCATTTGCCTGTACGGTAATACGGGTCATCTCCGGACTGTCACACCACTGGAGATGTTGTTCGGTATGCAAAACGTTTGATATAGAGTAATGAGCTGAAAACCACATTAGGAAGGTTCGCTTCCCAGTATTATCAGTGTCATCATCTTGACCCCTGTACAACTACTATTTATTTTTTATGCGGATGCAGAGTTCGATTGCACCAGTTCATTAAAAAAAATGGGGGTTCATCTTTCACTTCAGTTACTCCGAAATGTCTTTTGCATATTCCACAAGAACGAAAATTTACCACTTAAATTGTGGGAACATTTTGGTGTTTGTCCCTCAATCTCGTCGACCAAAATTTTGAATGGGAAATGACAGAATATGTATCCTTGACAAGTACTATTCTTTTAGGGGGGCTTTTGAGGAACTTCAAACAAAATCGCCGCACTTTAATATAACATATCATGACGTTCTTCGAACGTGAATGCGAAATCTGGTCCTCATGGTTCATTATTTTGAGTATCCATTGCTCCCTTGATCGACTGATACCCGATATGCTATACAACCATGTTCCTTGCACTTTCCGGCAGATTCTTCGTCACTCTTCAAAATAACGCCCAGAGTGACGTGGGTTGCAGACATGTTTCACGCAACTAACCTTTTCTTAGTTTGCTCATAATTCGCTCCTTAGCAAGCACTTCCCTCGGCTCGTTTGGATGACGCATTGAATTCATCAGATCGAACAAAAAAGGATTATGAAGGAGTAGATCACAAGTATCACAATTATTTTCCTTTTTCCGGCGTTTTGAGTTTTGGAAGTAGAACTGTAGAAGTTTGTTACGGAGGCTACCAAACTACCAACTAGTTCTAACGCACAAAAGAAATCGTCCTATTTCCACTTTTAGTAGGGTACAATGCGAGTAGGACAGAATTCTATGGTGGACGCTGCTAAACATAATCCCCAACAATTTCTAGTTGCTTGTTTTTCTACACACTCACCACGGATAATCGATATCCATTATCCGTTTCCCCATAGAAGTCACGCAATTAGTCGACATGTCCAATGGAGCATGCCAACTTTGCTTACGCGCTCGTTACGCCCAATCGACCGTACTTCAGTGCTTCTCCGTTCGTACAGGTAAACACCATCGTTGGAATGCATGAGAGGCACTCGCACCTTGATGATGAATCTGTAGTCTTTCTCAGTGATTGATTGATCTAGCCCCAATCGAACGCTGGATTCGCTCAGGATTTATAGCTTAGTTTCACGTTGCTTAGCAAACATGAAGGCAATCTGAGTAAATGAAGTCATTCCGTGTTTTCCATCTCAAGGCCCGGTTGCGTCTAGTCCATTCCCTTCTCAAGGTTTATCAGGCACAGATCGTCCTCCATTCCGAAAACATGACTGCTCCCTCACAACATAAATTTGGAGAGAGCACTTGTGAAATATGTAAGTAAACATCGGCCAGCGTAAACTCATCATTTTAAGTTGATTGGTCAGCCAATCGATACTAAGACCGATCTTAAACAATGTCTTATTCCTTAACATAACATTGCGCAGAATATAGGTCAAACTCTAGCCAACCAACAAAACTTTTCGCCTCGCTTGGATCTCGTCAGTAAGAGCACACCGTCAACCTTACCTAAAATTTGAACACAAAAATTAAGTGAAAATGCCGTTATAAATTCGCTCGCAGACTGAATTGCTACCAACGGGAGCCCAGTTCAAATTTGTCTGCTTCTCATATAGCCTGTGTTACATCAAGAAAAATACTTTGATATCCTGATAGCTTCTTCAAATAGAAACATGAATTAGCAAAACATTCAATTGAAGCTTAGCATAAAGGAGAAAAAGTTTCTAGTGAAATTCACTCCAAATTCCCAGTAACAACTCAACTTGCAACTGAGAGTTTACCGGAAATACGTCCTGTTCTCAAAATAAATAATTTTGTTTGAGGAAAAATTAGGCTATGTGTCGTGAGACTCATTAAAGAGGAAGGAATACTCGGTGGCTGGGAAAAGCAATGAATTAGAGACCATCTGTTTCACTCAACCTAGACCAAGTTACTTCGGCAAACCTGGATATCCTTCAGCAAAATTTTGTTTGACATTTATGTGGCGCACAAGATGAAAAGTTGAATGAGTTCTGAAGAAATGAAGACAAAGTCAGGCACATGTAAGAGGTGGAGAGTGTGTCGCATTCAAGCAGCCAGAGAGCGTTTACGTCCGAGAGTGACGTTGTGGTTTCAAAAAGGTTGTGCAAACAAACTGTGAGGATTAAGTTTCGTACGTATATCGGTATAACCAGACGAACTAGAAATACAGAATTCAGCAAAGCGTAGCAACCAGCACGTATGTATTCGAATAGGCGAATATGTACAGCATACGAAATATTAAAACAGGAGGATAATGAATACAGCAACGAATAGAGTATCAGTCATGTTCATCACATCCGCCACACCTTAAATGAGCGTGTGGATGTTTATAGTCCAGTGGTGGTCTTGACCGCAATCTTTCGGATCTTCTCGGAATGAAAACTTCAGACTCTTCACAGGCTGTGTGTTCTTCAGATACGTTTTGTTCAGATACCATAAGATCGTCTACAAAGGACTCATTAATATTTGAACCAGCAGGAGTGCCGTTAACAGACTGACCTCTGGTATTGAACTCTACCTGATCAATGTGTCTCCGATGACAAGAGAGATCATCCAAATCGAGAATTGTGACCATTCGTTTGCCATTTGATGAAAGCACTATTCCTGTTGCGGGTCGTAAATCATTACCCTTGAAAAATGTGACATCAGCCGTTTTGGCACAGTCAAGACTCGTACGCAACGAACGAGATTTAAATAGAAGCGCGGGACTCTTCCCAGTAACGGAATGGACGGCGTTCCTGTATTGCATTAGAAAATTATCAATCCCACGGTCCAATTCCACAAAAGTAGTGGGAGAGAGTGAAATAATAGCAGATTTAAGTATTCGGACAAAATTTTCAGCAAGTCCATTCGACTGGGGATGTCGCGGAGCAGTAAACAGATGTCGACAACCAAGACCCTTCAACCATTCCTCGAGGAATTTTGCAGTGAAGTGTGTGCCGTTGTCAGTGACCAAAACAGTTGGTACACCTTCGTGGCTGAATACTTTCCTCAAGGCTTGCTGAGTGAATTCGGCACTTGGAGAAGTAGTTAGAAAAACTTCAGGCCAACGTGAATATGCGTCAATAACGACCAAAGCATAGTATTTGCCGAGAAAAGGACCACAGTAGTCGGCATGAACTCATTAAAAAGACTTCACAAGTAACTGCCCACGGATACCACTGTGAAGACTTGTTATGAATCTTATGTACACATTTAGCACAATTCTTAGCAGTATGCTTGATATCAGCATCCAGTTCCGGCCACCAGCATGACAAGCGTGCAAGGGATTTCATTTTGTCGACACCCAGATGACCAGAGTGCAAATCTGCAAGAACAGCCGCTCGCTGAGTCGGTGGAATGACAATTCTATCCTCAAAACACAGCAAACCGTCCGGAGTAACGGACAAGCTTTCGCGGCGACAGTAAAAAGCAGGAAATCGGCGTCGTTCTTGCTGTATCCAGCCACGTCGCAGTGCAGAAAAAATTGGAGGGAAATATTTTTTAGTGTCAGCAACAAGCACATCCCGCTTGACTGGTAATGGTTGAATTAGCAGAAAATCTAAATTTTTTGAATCAGGATCGCATGGTGGAATTCTTGACAAGAAATCGGCATGAGGAATCATTTTCGCCCTACGATGAACAATTGTGTAGGTATACGAACTCAGCGCAATAATCCACCGCTGCACCATAGCGGCAGATGACTTCGCCAAAGACTTTTTTGGATGATACAAGAACTTCAAGCCTCGCGATCAGCAGCAATGGTAAATTTTGATCCAACTATGTATTTTGGAGCCGTTTGACAGCCCAATATACAGCAAGTGCTTCTCGTTGAATCTGAGAATATCCACGTCCGGCTTTTGAGAGTCGACGGGAAATGCAGATCACTGGTCTACCACACTGTTCAAGGATTGCCACTATTCCAGTGAAAGAAGCGTCAGTAATGATCGTTGAATGATGTTTGGCGGAAAATGGCTTCAAAACAGCTGA